TGTGCCCAGTTTCTGCTTGCAATAGCACCTCTTGAGTTCATGGGGCAAATGCTGCAGAGGGGGGTTTCATGGAGCTGCAGCACCCCAAGTGACAGACTGTTGGTCCATGCTGGTCCAGGGGATGGGTGCTGGCAGAAGAGCAGAAAAACATGGAGGGGAAAAAACTCTCATTGATAAAACAAAGTCATCTGTGGTCATCCCTGTGGGAGGAAAACACTGATGTACAGAATATTAATCTGCACTGGAGTTCACTGTCATAGAATCATAGAATCATCAAGGTTGGAGGAGACCTCTAAGATCATTGAGTCTGACCATTGACCTGCCATTCTGCTGGAACCCCTAAACCATATCCTTCAGCATCAGATCCAGACACCTCTTAAACAATTCCAGGGATGGTGACTTCACCACCTCCCTGGGCAATATTCCAGTGCCTGAACACCCTCACAGGAAAAACATTTTTCCTAACATCTAATCTGACTCTGCCCTATCTCAGCTTATGGCCATTCCCTCCAGTCCTCTCCCTGTAGCCATGGCAGGAGAGACCATCCCCCATATCTCTACAACCTTCTGTCAGGTAGTTGTAGAGAGCCATGAGGTCACCCCCGAGCCTCTTCTCAAGGTTAAAAACACCCAAATCCCTCAGCCCTTCCTCATATGTTCTAGATGTTTTCTGAGCCTCATTGCCCTTGGTTGGACACGCTCCAGTGCCTCAATGTCCTTTTTAAATTTTAAATCATCTAACATTGTCTCAGCCTCATTCGCTCAGGTTTCTCTTGCATACAGGTAGGTGTGTGCAAGGGTTTGTGTGTTTGTTGATAAACCCATAGACTTGTGGGTTTATTCACAGATTTCCATCATCTCATGAGATGCTGTCAATTCAGCCAGCTCACACTTAAGGATGGTGCATGACAGAAACCTTTCAGTGGCAACACCACCCTCATGTGTGTCCATCCCAATGCTCCTGCACAGCCCAAACCTAGCACCTGGCTCTGCCTCTGTTCAAGTACAGGAGCTCCTGGTGTGACCTGGCCAAGGGAGCCCATATAGTTTGGAGAAACTTTGCAAAATGAGTATTTCCTACTACAGCTGGGCAGGCACAGCCTCCTGGGTGAGGGACAGTGTGGCACAGGCCAGAAGCAAACATAGGGAGCAGGAGGGGGCACTTCCTGAGCTGGCACTGCCACTTAGAGAAATGCCTGTTCTGCCTTCACCTTGGGGTACATTTGCTAGTCATCCATATGGTTTAGGAGCATAAAACCCATTGCTGTCAACAGAGATGTTTTTACTTGAGGCCCATGCTCCTGCCTCACTGAGAGATAGCTGAAATATCTCATATAAAAACAAAGTTCACAACAATGAAAAGTTATTTGGTCTTTTACAAGAGCAGAAGATCTAGTGAAGCCTTTCACAGCACCGAAAGCTTTAGAAAGGCCACTGAGAGGAATATTGTAGGATTTAGATCCATAGCAAAAGACAAGCCTCATCTAAACACTCCCACTGACTCCAGCTGGCATTGGACTGGGCCCACATGTGAAATGTAAGCAAAATATCCTCAGAGTCCTTCACAATATAGTGGATTACAGCAAAAGTGATTTTTATTTATTAAAAAATGGGGTTATAACAAAAGGACACTGATATGTCCAGGTCCTTCCTTTCCCCCCTCTCTAAACATTCAGGGGGAAAGGCAAGAAGACTTCTCATACACATGGATACATCACCTCCTCAGCAAACATGTCCACAAATTTGTTTCTCCAACATAAAACTAAAACAAGCAGAGAAATATTTTCTTCCGATGTTTGCTTTCTATTTATTTTCTGTTGCTACCTCTGCGTCTGCAGCAACATTGATGCTCCTGAGCCCCAGAACCCATTGGTTTTGCATCTGCTGCCTTTCAAACCCAGAGGACTGCACTGGAGCAGTGTTCCTTTTGCAGCTGGCACTCTTGGGACTCTTTCAGAGTTGGGATGAAGAGGCAAAACACTGGGAACACAGATAGGAGCTCCAGGCAACCAGTACAGGTTGGGCACTGACCTGCTGGAGAGCAGCTCTGCGGGCAAGGACCCGGGGGTCCTAGTAAACAACAACCTGGCTCTGCGGGCAAGGACCCGGGGGTCCTGGTAGACAACAGCCTATCCATGAGCCAGTAATGAATACAAGTATATGAACCAAGAAGATGGAGCCAGTGGTGGAAACCAATAAAACAAGAAGCAATGGGCAGAAACTGATGCACAGGAAGTTCCACTTCAATATGAGGAAGAATTTCTTTCCTGTGCAGTCACTGAGCCCTGGAACAGGTTGCCCAGAGAGGTTGTGGATTCTTCCTCACTGAAGTTATTCAATAACCATCTGGACACAATCCTGTGCCATGTGCTGATTGAGAAGGGGGGTTGGACTAGATGACCCATTGTGATCCCTTCCAACCTGACTGATTCTGTGATTCTGTGACTCATTATTAGTTTCTATTTTACAGTACCTCCTAGATCCCCATGCTGAGAGTGACCACAGTGCATAAAGTAGAGCTGTGTGCACACAGAGCAGGAAGCAGTCTTCATCCTGGAGTGTTTAGGATCCCAAACAGACTAGACAAAAGATAAGAAAGTGCTACCTTTCCAGCATGTGTCACTCAGTAGGTCAGAGGATTCAGAAGATAGCTCAGTATTCACAAGTCTTAATCAAGGACCTTATCTACCACATCAGATGTTGTCATCCTCTTATTAAACAGAACGAAGTATATGTATACAGTAAAGGGTATATATGGATATAGTAAGGTATATGAATATAAACCTTTTTGTAAGAAAGGTTCTGTCCCTTCTTACAGGAGCAACCGCAAAACCTCTTACGCCTCTTGGATCTATCTGAATCCTCACCTCTCTCAAAGTATATGCTAATGGCCCCTACCCTGGTGGCACTTTCTCATACAGAAACAATTCACTGGAGAACAGCTTTGCAGGAGAGCACAATGTTTGGATATGTGTTAGCCAAAAGGGATCTTTTAAATTTCTGGTTCCTGTTGATCCTGGTGCCCTATTCCTGTGTGTCAAAAGAGTGAGCAGCAAGTTGCCTGTCAGCAGGATTCTGTTATCCCCTGCTCCAAGTTCTGTAGGACTAGGCAGCTATCAAGAGAAAGATAATTGCAGCCTGAGCTGTTAACTTTCAGCCAGGGCTGCAATGTGTATAAAACCCTGGCTGCCTGATGAAGTCCTGGGTGCTAATGCTGAGCCCTCAGCATTGGCAACATGATCACCCCCAGTCCAACGTTTGATTGTTGCTTCTTTTCTCTACACAGTGCCCAGAGGCATTATATGCCATTGGCTGGGCCAGCTGTCCCACGAAAATGCTCCAGGGAATGGCTGCTGTCCATCCCAGCCCTCACAGCTGAGGATATCTCCTGCAGCAAGCCATCCTCACAGTACTGTGCCCCATGGTCCACAGAACAAGGCTTGTGGCAGGACAATGTCACAAAGGAGCACCTGGGAACTCTGAAGCAGAGCAACAGCTGCCAGCAGCACAGCACAGCCCTCACTCTTGCTGTACCATTTCTGTGATTTTCCACTCAAATCACTGTGCCATTTGAGGGAACACAGACCTGTGTCATTCTGAGTTACAGTCAGACTTGTGGGTGCCACTAATTCTGCTAAATGAGCAATAAAATAGAAACAGGCAGAATTATGTAATTAAGCATGCCATAGAAGAAGAGTCAGAAGGAACACACCAGCAATATTTTTTAAAGCCACTTGCCCCAGTATTCATAGTGTGACTCACATATATCTACTGCAGAAACCCACCCTAAATGGATTTCAATCAAACTAAGGGTTACTGACAAGGGCAGGGGTAAAATAAAATGTTCCTATTGTTCTAGACAACAGAAAAGACTGCTAAGGAAGTAACTTTATAACCTGAGAAGGGTCTGCAGCTTTAAGAAATTCTCCCCTAAAGATTGTAAAGCTTTTACTATGCAAAGTATTTTTGCTATTATATACACTGGCGGCCACTAAGCGCAGCTATTATTTCTGGCAGTCATTCAGAGAAGGTCGAGACTGATAAAGTGTTTAACAGAATTTGTTTGGGTAGATCCATCTGTGTTTTTAACCACCCATACAGTCTTCTGTGTCTTTTTAAAAGATGCTGGATGTTCCCAAGTCTAATGTATTAGTCTTCATTTTTATTTGCCATCTTTTATTATTTATTGTGCCATGGCAAAGAGTATCTTCTTTACAATGTCCACGCTTTTCTACATGTATTACACAAGCATCCAAAAAAATGGGATGTTTCTTTGCGGTGGCCCAGGGGTGCAGGCTAAACAGAGTTCCAATTTCCTTGGGAAAGGCCATGGTGAGTTGTGACCTGTTGCTCTCACTCCTTACACCTTGGGGTGAGTTCATGTTTCAGAGGAACCAAGATGGGAGATTGCAATCAAAGGGCAGGGAAGCAAGAGGTATGTTGAAAGGCTCTAGCAAGGAGTCCAAGATGGAGCTTCGAAAAGGAGATGTTTTCAGGCAATGTGAGCACCAGGAAAAATATCCTCACGAGCTGGGATGGACCGTGATAGCATTTTAACACTCCCACTGGATGGGTTTGGTAGTGCAGAATTTGAAACCTAGCCCCATTATAAACTCTCCATACTGCATGGAGCCACCCAGGGGAACTCTGAGCACCTCACTTCCCTGCCTGGCTGCACCGCATGGCGACGTTTGCTACTGTTCATGAGTACACTGCTTTAAAATGCTGTGCAAACACTTGCTGACTATGAAGCAGGTGAGAATTAGTATTGCCATTTTACAGACAGGAGAGTAAGACAGAACAAACAGCTTGTAGCTAGTGACCACTAGCAAATATGTGTCCCACCTGATGCAAGTAACTTCCATTGATGTAAAAAGACATTTAAATCCTACAGCAAGAGGACCCTACATCTGACAACCATTCTGTATGTTTCATACAGCTTTCTGTACCCAGAGATAGTACTGACCTGAACGTGTGGCTCAGATCCCTCTGCCACTTACCTGAGCTTATCTGCTACAAAAATCACACGCCGCTCCAAGAGGAGGGAAGCGAAGATCCGGATGATCTGACGAATGCTGAGGCACTTGAAAAGGCATTCAAAGTCCACGTGTTCCAGGCGTGAGTCCATGGGCCTCCGCAGCTCAATGACCTGAACACATCCAACAAACATCAGTTAGCATCACTAGTCAGAGCTGACAGCACCAGGGGCATCCAGCACTCCAGCCCAGGCCCTCCAGCACATGCTTTCCTGTTGAGGGGACACAGAGAAAGAACCCAGCCCCCTTTTGCAAACTGAGGCTGGAGACACAGCACTCCAGAGAAATGGCTTATTGCACAATTCACTATCAAGTCATTCTTCTTCCCAGAATACAGTTGTGTGCATTAAGTCTGCCATCATTTCTGTGGGAAGCATAATTCTCCCTTGTAAACACTGTCAGACATGTAGAGCTTGGCTGAGTCAACAGTATGAAGCAAGGAACAACTGGAAACATTAGAGCTAGAAGCTTACAGGGTTAAAACAGTCATAAAGACAAGATAAATTTGGTTCTAAGCTTGGCTAGCAATTCATATTAACTTCTAGATAGGAACCAGGAACTGAACTAAAAAGGCCAGGCAGAATTTAAACCCAATTTACTTCATTTCCATCTTCTATGATGCATAATTCACTAGATAATACTTAAAACCTTTTCCTTTTCATATAAAGATATGTACATATATATACTTAACTGGGGAGTCAGGACACGGTCTTAGATGGTGACTTGTGACATCCCTGTAAAGTCTAATTTTCATACTTCATCCATGACCTCAGGCCCTCTCCTTCCTTTTCCCAAATGCCTTTTGCTTGATTCCTTTATTATATCTTCCTTTCACTCTGCAATTGACATGCTCAGATGTGGAACTTGAAGGCAGAGGACAGAAAAAGGAGGGAAAAAAAACATGAAGAAGAAAGTAACAGAAGTAGAAAAATATGAAGTGTAAGACAGCAAATGATGGACTATTGAGGAATTTGAGGAAACAGAAGGGAAAGGGAAGAAGTTTGCCAACTTGAAGCTGTGTTGAAATCTCTCAAGACATATTAACAGGAACATATGTACATCTCCTTTCCATATGTCCAAAAATCACTGTCACTTTGTTGCTTTAGACCCCTTTTATGTTTTCATGCACATGACACCCTATTTCCCAAGCATAGTGTATCAGCTTGGCACTGGATTAGCCCTTACAAAATTCCTAAAAAATACACTGTTTTAAGGATATGATCAAGATCACAGGATACTGAAAACTAAACAAGTTCATATCAGTTTAGTTGTAATATTGCTTGTGATTAGTAACACAGGACTGTAAAAAATAGTCACTGTTAGAACAGTATTTGGGTCCAGATTTGGTATTTTTAAGCCTGAAATACAGAAACATTATGATGCCAGAGTATTAGACACCTGTCACTCAGCTATGGCCCCAGACAGTGGTAAGAAAGAAATTGCAGACTGATGGTGCACCAGGAACACTTCCTCAGGAAATGCTGCCTGCCTACTTCTTCCTCATAATTAATGAAGGTGTCCACTTCCATTCCTTGGCACTGGGGTTGCAAGCTCAAATCAAATTTATGTACCAAGCTGATTTTACTGGAAAACTTTGAACACTAAAATCTTGCTGCGGGGTAAGATGCAATGCAAGTTACAGCAACTTTTATAAATACCATGGATGTTTTCTGTTGCCTGGCAAAGCCTTCTGCTCCAGTCTGCTCATCACAAAGAAATATACTATCTACTTCCCAATTAATCATCATCTTTGTTTAGGCAAGAGGAGCCACAGTGGAAGGACAAGATTCTGTTCCTAATTAAGCCAGTGCATTCCACTTAAATAAGGAGTTTGTACTAGCATAACAAGAGAGCAAAGCTCAGCCAGAAGAGAGAGCTGTTTGTTTGTTTGGACTTATCTCAATGTTTTTCTCTGGGAAAGTTCAGAAGCTTGAGCAGAGGATAGAGAAGTTAGAGATCCATGCTTCCCAGATATATTCACATCAAAAAAGCATTATCAGATCTTTCCACTGTTATGCCTATCAGTCTTTCAGTTTTTCCGTTGCTTCTCCAGAAGACAATGCTTGTGACTTTAACATGCCTTGCAAGACACTTATACAAGGAACTCTGTGCATTTCATGCCAGCTGACATTCCAGGCCCACTCCATTGCAGTCAGTGGCATTACATTTAGAGAAAATATGATTCAATGTAAAAATAATAATAGCATATAAAGCTAACCCTAAGGAGTGCAAAATAACCATAAAGGGTATTTCTTTTTCTCCTGCAGTAATGAGGTTTGAAATGACAACCAGCTGTTGAACTGCTCAAGTACAGACAGCATGGGAAACTCACACTTGCCTGTTATCACTGTGATGAAGCCCAGCAATGCTGTAGTCTGTGAACTGCACTAGGCCAGGCATACTGGGACATTTGTGTTGCAATTTACTGATAAACATAAAACAATAAATGAACAATTTATAAACAATAAATTGGCTTATAATCACTAATGGGAACTAGCATTTGCATATCAACACTGGTGCAGTTCCTGCACTGCTTTTGAGGGTATGCCATCTCCTATCCTTGCAGTATCTGTATGTCTCCTCCTGGTTTTCTTTCGCTGTTTGATATGGGAGTGGTAAAGGGGAAGGCTTTGACTTTTAATGTTTGTAATTGCTTTTTACCTCATTTCCAGCTCCAGGCAGAAATGTTTTGACTTTAATTGTCTTTCCAGGTGCAGGAAAAGGAGATTCCATCAGACTTCTCATAAACGGATAAACCAGGGCAGCAGATATTCCCCTTCTCCTTTCAACCTCATCCAGGATCTGGTCCATTAGTAAGGCACAAGAGAGAAGAAGACAGAACATATCAGCACCACACACATTTTTGAAGCATCTTTTGACCCACATGTACCTAAACATAGCAGATCTAAGTTTCGTTCTCCTCTGCCATGCATTTCTTCATTCCTGTCAAAACCATAGGATTGGATCATACTCTAAAAATTATGTGTTTTCTGGCGACAAAATGGAGCCTGTTTGTAAATGCAGTTAACACAGAGGCAGGGAAGAATTAACAAATCTGGAAAGGATAAAGAAGACTCAGCATGACAAAAGGGATCTATATTGTTGTGATTTTGCCTGAACAACAGGATGAGCTGAAGGAGAGAAAGATGAAGACAAATCTCATGATCACAGGCCAGGTCAGCATCACATCTCAGTGGTACCCCTTGAATTAAGGAGAAACACTTTCTTCTGCCCTGGGAATCTCTTCTGTTTCAACTGAGAGATCAGGAAAAAGCCAGAGCAGCAAGAAATGCAATGCTGCCATGCTATGATAGAGGTCCACCAGGAATAAGCTCTTGACAGGGTCCCGGCAGTGGCAGCAGCAATCACATTGAAGCCTGTGGTGAGCTGGAGAGCCATGAGCAGCCTTGTGAAGCATGCCCAGCTGTTTACACTGGGTGCCAGCATTATGGGAATTTTCTGTTTGAGATGATGCAGAGCAGGCAATCTAGTTTTGAAATAAGCAGATGGGACTTCTTATAGATAGGAAAGACTATTATTTTCTCCTCTCTTTGGTCATATGGGCCAACATAAATTAGATCACAGCTAAGTTTTCCCACATTAGACAGACCATATAGATGACAAACCTAAAGAAGAGAAAGCCAGCTTCAAAGCAGTTAGTGGTTTGACCTGAAATGGTGATCTTTTAACCACCACTTAAGAGCAAAAGGCCATATGAGAGTTAGTGAGTCTGAGCCAGGCGTTCTCTCTTGTTTCTTTTGGAAATGTTTTTCACTGAAACAGAACATTAAAAGATACTTAAGCACAAGCTGGTGACTTGTAACAATACCTAGTGACATCAAATGCCAATAGAGGCATTCATTAGTGCATAGTTCCTTCTTTCTCCTTGCAACATAGTAAAAGCCTAACTAAAGGAAAGCTGTCCCTGCATACATAACTTGCATTCCAGACCATAGAAGTGGCAGATAACCATAAATGAGGATATGAATTTCATTCTTGATGTAATTTGCAGCACAACTATCCTCAACAAACAAAACTCTTGGTGCTCCTGCACACTGTCAGCACAGAGTTGTAATGTCCCTGATACCTTTCTCCTTTCCTGCAGTCACTATTTGATGGCTTATGTTGCTGGAATTGGGGGTTTTGTGTGTTTCATAACCCTGCCACAACAACCTTCTCAACACAAATAAAAAGGAGCATTTAAACCAAATAAAAGCTGAACAGAGATCTCAAGAGATAAAACGGTCAAAAACATCTGTTGAAACTCTGACCAAATGAACCAGCTGGAAGTTAAGATATCTGTGGTTCCCAAGTCTGTCTTAACAATAGGGATTACAACAGTGAGTGAGCATAAAAGGCTTTGTGGAAGATTAAAATAATGCAGGTATCAGAAACTGGATTATAAACATTTTAAAACAGAGGAATCCTTTTGCTTTTCTGATAAATAATATCCAAGATATAATATCCTGTGGTCTTTTATCACTCACATTTTACTGTAAAGAAAACAATTCTGTGTTTTGACTAATTCAGCAAAATGTACCATCATGACTTTTTTCCTTTGTCTGGATTTATCGGCTAAGGATAGCCCAAGTTCCTCTGACTAGTCTGGAAAAAGAAATTATCCAACTTTTCAAGGATGTGTGTCTCCATCCACACCACATCTGTCTTCAAAACCAATAGGGATGGCTAACGTTCATGTGCTTTCTCCTTCATTTAACAACTGTTTCCTCCAAACCCTTTCCAAATGCAGTGCCTGGAGTGCATGCTATGGATCTGTGCTAAATCCAGCCCAGGACTGGAGCTAGCCCCAGGTGCTGTCAAACACCCTGTTCCCACCCTGGCACAATGTCATCAGGAGTGACCAGCCCTCCACAGGACAGCACTGCTGTGGCCAGATGCCAGTGTGGATGGGGTCCTTCTGTGGCCTAGCCCCTCCTCCATAAGCCCAGTAGCTGAAAAGTGTGTTACAGCCTCATTCAGGGCCCAATAGGGAATTGAGCAGGAGCTTTCCCCCCTGCACAGGTGAAAAACGCAAGGTGCATGTGGCCAGTGCTTGGGAACAGTCCCTGCTGAAGCCAGTGGAGTTATGCTCACTCATCAGCCTTAGGTTCACTTTGGCTGGATGACATTTTCCCCATAGTTACAGACTGAACTGGGAACACAGATTATTTGCAATTTTGGTGCAATGACCTTCCTTGTCTGACTTTATACCAGCTGACTATATAGTCTGACTATATATCAGCTGCAGTGATACTTGGTTGTAAAGATGATACTTAAGTGTTTTCCTTTGCTCTATCAAACTTAGATAAAAACTGTGCTACAAGTCTGCTGAGCTCTGTGATCTTCCCAGAACAATACATTCCATTTCACTTACAAATATCTGTGTTTAGATACATATTGCGTTCAAGAGACACTGTTATAAACCCTTGATTTCAGAGCTTTACAAAAGATGTCAGAGGCAGAATTGCAATTAACTATTGCAACCCAATTGTTCTTCACACAAGGTTTGTGTTAAACAAAGTTCTATCTAGAAAAGCTTGAAAGCTGCTTTGAAGATAACATTCTGTATGAATATTAGATCATATGAACAATATAATTGCTATGATTTTTATTAGCTTCAATGATTTACATATTCTTTTCAATTTTATTCCTATATAAATGAACAATAAATGTCTGTGTAAGTTCTGTGAGATTTCCCATATCTGCAGTGAAAACCTCTGGCAAATTAAAACATTATCAATTAAAATTTAGCCAATTAAAATATTATCCATGCTTTCCTAGCCTACTAGGATTTTTAAAAAGTGTCAATAGTGTTAAGCATATAGAATTGGTATATCAAATCATCTTTTTTCTTAACCTCATCGTTACACAGGGTATTGGAGTAGTACTGGCCCATCTTTCAAATTATGGATGCCAAGAATTACGGCTCAGCACAGAATGGCTGTAGAAAACAATGGAAAAAATTTCAGTCAGCCAGATCATACAGACACCCAGATGTTTTTTGAATCAAATTCTGCCTCAGTCACAGAAATAATAAGGCATTCTTTGATGAACCCAATAATAGGGATGGAATATCCAAAAGAGCAATTGTAAAATAGTTGTCTCCCATCAAAGGAAGAAATTCTTCCCAACTGGTTCAGCACTGTGGATATGTCTCAGTAAACAATCAAATTAAAAAGCAATATTAAAACAGTATCTTCTTACCTTGGAAAATAAGTCAAAGCACCCCAGACGGCTGATGACACAATAAACCTCAGGTAGGCGTGGACCTTTTCCACTTGGCTGATAACAGCAAAAAGGAGATTGAAATTACACATTAATTTAGAGTTATGAGGAAATACACTTCTTTCTCTGATCACACAGTTGACCATCATGTGACATATTCCACTATCTGTTTCTCCAGCAAATAGCTACTCTTCAAAAAGCATCATATTTCTTGTGACTTTATCATGCCTTGCAAGACAGGAAACTCAAAAGCATAAATAGTGCTTATCCTCTTTGGAAATCACAGTATTTTGGAGCTGTACTTCAATATTGCTCCAGCTTGCAGCCATAAAAGCACATTGAACAGGACTGTAACTCATGCCTATGCTATCTCTGTCTTCTGCTCCTGCTGCAGCATTAGGACTGGGGCCACACCGGGGCCATGTGCTGGAAGAAGAGACTACAATGCTAAAGGAAGTTGTGATGGCTTTAGTTCCCCACTCACTCCATGGTGTTCAAAGAGAGCTCAACATACAGAAGGCAAGTTCACAGACCTAAACAAAGGCAAGCTGCATTAACTTCCTCAGATTAACTCATGATAAACATGAAACTCAAATGACTTAAACAGTGGCAGGCACGAAACAACGATGCATATCCCGCCCGCAGCCCCACTCCCCCAAAAAACCCTGCAAAGATCATCTTCTATAACCATCCTACATAAGATATTTCCTAGAGAAGCAAATGGCATTCCCTTGGCATACTGGACTCTGCTACCTTGCCTATACCACTGCCGGGAAGGCTCATCAGCACTGTGTGTGAAAGAACAATACAGCCACTGGCTGCATTCAGCTTATTTACTGAAAAAAAGTAGAATTAGGCCAATGCTGAGCACTTTGGAAAAACCACCATCACTGGCAAAGTCCTCAGAGCACAGAGCTGGTCTGCCTGTGTGCAGTGCTCACAGATGGCAGAGATATCCATGTATAGCAGTTTCCCACTATATTTCTAATCAACTGCAATGCAGCATTCCAGTTTTCTGTAGCTGCAACTGATTTTTGCCAGATCAGCAGGCACATGCTTTCTAAGGGCTGTTACTTCAACAAGGCAGCTCGCTGACTTCTGATGCACTCACATGTAGTCCCGAGATACAATGCAAGGAAGTCCTGGTGCTGCCTTGTCCAGAAGCTCCATCCATCATGGTACAGAGCAGCTGCAGGTACAGCAGCGAACCCCAGCAGCAAAAAGCTGAAAGCTAGGTCTGAGACAATAGGCAAGAAAGCTGCCTACCACCTTGTGTCTTGTGTAGCCACCTCTGTGCTGCATGGAGTGAAACGTGACTGTAATGGAATCACTTGGCACCACTCAGCCTCTTTGTGCATCTGTACATTATGGATGTGCAGCAGTGACAGTACCATCTCCATCAATAATGACTGTGACAGAGGAGCTCAGCCACTGTTTCTATCAGCTTCTGCCCACTTGTACATTTAGCCAAAGTAGCTGATGGTCTCCTCTGTACCCATAACAGAAGCCCAGTGTATTTTTATCTTTGTCTCATCATTAGGCTCTGCTGATACAGTGATTAACTTCCCTGCGGTGTGTTTGACATTCACATACCACAGAGATGACAATCAAGAGAAACTGAGGGGTAGCTGTGCTTTTTAAATCTGAATATTGCAATCTAGACTTGGACAGCCAACAGGTGCCTGCCTGTTATAATAAAGACCACAAAAAATACCAAAGCTAAGTGAATACAGATGAGTCTATTTCTGGATCCAAACCTGCTCACTACACGTCACATCTCTGAAAAAGCAGAGCCCTTTTTTGTCCATATTAGGTATAAAATCCTTTCTAAAGGCACTGAGTGATTATATCAAGCATGTGGGATTTT